TAGACCTATATACATAAATATGTTCCTAGCATTTGATTTGCCTTAGTTCGAAGTAGTAAAGTTCCAATTCAGAAGCAGGGTAAGGAAATACAATTTACTTCCACATGTTTTGTTTGGGGCTAAATATTAGGTAATAAATTTCCCAGCACCTTTGCTACTTTTACAAAGTGCCTGATGAAATTTAATGTCCAGGAGCAGAGATGATGACAGGCTGACATTTCTGAGAACAGCCTTTCCAAATAGTTTGATACCAGGTCAAGTAATGAAATTAGGATATTTTGGAGGATTATGAAGATTTTAATTTCCTTCTCCTTTGATGTCACTTAGAAAGGGGCTAACAACTCCAGCACATCAAAATGTTTTTGAATAATGTTTCTGAAGGCTTTTTGAGTCTTAATTTGAGTGAAATTTGGTTCTGCTTTGCAAAGGCTGTAAGACTATTCAAACACATAAGGCTTTTTTACTAAAAAGCTTTCTTTGCTAAATAGTTATTTTTATCAAGACTTTTAATGCATTAAAATGCATTAGTCACATGTCTTGTTCAGTACTCAACACTGAAATATTACCTGCTCAGGGCTGAGGTGATAAAAAAGTGTAATGCACATATTCAGTAGTACATTAGTTGCTGTCATGGTACCAGTTTTCAGGCAGAGCTCAGTCAAGGAAAATTCTGTTTGAGGAAAAAAATCTACCTGTTTATCCTTTTTTCTTCTTGCTTCTTTATTAAGCCTGAATGTGGAGAGCCAGCTGGACAATTTCCCTGTCTATTTCTGGTCCTAGGTGTTAATTTAAAATAATTGTATTGAATTTAAGTTGTGAAAATTAGTGTCTGGATTCACAAGAGTCTCCTGGAAACTCAGCTTATCCTGTTCCCTCCATGACACTTCAGTGTCTCACCCCATAAGAAACCCTGTGCACAGTTGGAGGCCGTTTCTGCAGTGAAACCACTGGACATAATTTAGTTTTCTGGTAGTATTAAAGTAATGAGTCAAAGATGAGCATAAATGTTGAAGAAAAGGTACTGTGAGTTCCCCAGCTGAGAAATAAATGGTGCTGATGGATGTGCTCTATATTTGCAAGGGTTTTATTGTGTTGAAGAATGCAGTTTCTAAGTTGTTGTTTTTGTTTTAGCTTGACTGTTCTTGTTAACTGAAAGGTTTCACAATGAAGCCATCTTTCACCCCTGACCTGGCAAACATGGATGTTTTTAAGAAAATGAGTCATTACAATTTCTTCAGGTGATCTCTTTCCTATGGTCATGTATGAGGCCACTGCAGTATTTTCCTGCAAAGCAGCAGCTCATGTCTACAGCCCCTGATGGGTTGATGGGTCAGAATAATAAAGATGTCATTGCATTCACCCTTGCATTCAGCATAATAATTAAAAACCCTCAAGTTTTGGACTTTTTAAAATGAGCAACGTTTGGAAATATTTTGCTTAAATGTTTAGAGGTACTTCTACAAACACATTCCTTGTTGCACTAGTATAGAAACTTCTTGTAATAGAGTTGCAGTTTCTAGCATTGATACAAGGAAGAAAAAGAGAAATATTTGAGAACAAAGCTACAAAACTGGATTGAGACACCCCAAAAACAGGTAAATAAGATATATCCTTATACAATATAAGTATATTGCAGCAATTCATGTTCTACTTATTTAATGTATATAAAGAACTTCAAAAGAAAACTGAAAACTTTAAGCAAACTGTAAGTTCAGAAGGTAAGTAATAAACCTTATTATTAATTATTATGCTAAGGATTTGTATGCTTAATGACACTTCTAGAACTATCACGATACAGTCCTAATTATATTCTATATTTTTCAGGGTAAGAAGTGATTTATTTATCTTAAAATATATTCAATTAAAAATTCATTAAAATTAAAAATTCATCAGATTTGTCGAATAATTCCCTTTATGTTTCTTATTTCGTAATAGGCATAATATTCACCAGTTAGTCTGTGGTGTGTTGGAAGTATTAGTGCTACTACTGAGAGTGAACTATGAACTGGATCATTTTTTAATACTATGCTGAAAAATTCTGAGTGTTGCCATCAAGCATCAGTTTGATCTCTGTCTCATTAACAGACCTTACTTAAGATGTCATTCATTCAGAGTTCATGGGAGGAATAATTAAATATCCTTTGTGCAGTGGTAGTTGAAACAGTAGAAACCACAAGTGAGCTGAGTGGAAAGATCAGTAAGAATTTACAGCATACCTGGGAGATGAAGGCTTGCACTGAATGTGTGCCTGAAGCTCTGAGCTTTGCTCATCTCTGAGACAGTGAGTGACAAGAGCCAGAGAAGAATGAGAGAAGTCACCAGTAGTTATAAAAGGATTATCTCCCCAGGAGAAAAGGGGAATCTTTCCACTGTTAATAGACAATTTTACTGCAAAGAAATACTTGGATTGAACAGTTTCTCACACTGAAGGACCAAACTAATTCCAATACTGGCTTGAACTTTATTTAAAAATCAAGAGGTCAACTCCTGTGGCCACGGTTAAGGGAGATTTGGTTGCAGAGCTGGAGTCTGAGCCTCTGTCAGATCTCTGGGTGTGTCTTAACTAAGTTGTCTGGTTCACAGCCAAATAGTTTTTCTGCTCAGCCTCTGCCAGGCTATGTCCTAATTTCAAAACAATATCTTCACTACGTTTCAGTCCCCAAGGGCAGTAGCTACACCAGATTTAATTAAAACTGGGAATGCTAATCAGCAGGTCCTCCTGTAACTGAGAGATTTCTCACTGTCCCAGAGTTAAGTGGCTTTTGCCTCCTAGCATTGTGGGAAGCACTGAAATAATGCTCCTGGGTGACAGATCTCCGAGTGTGCAGTGCCAACATTCCTTACCTGAAACTTGGAACAGCAGCAGGTTCATTCAGGGACAGTTTGCCTTCAGATACAGCAGTGGAGAGGTCACATAATTGAATTCTGTAACAAATCCCCTTTCTACATTTGCAAATCATAAAACAACATCCAAGACTTTTACTAATGAGCATGGGTACGGAAATTGAAAGAACCTCGAGTAACTTAATGCCCTTCTCTGCACTGAACTAGATGGCAATTAGACATTATTGCAGATTTCTGTTCGAGGCTCAGAGACCTTGATTAGCCAGACTGCCTAACCAGGGCAGGCACCTCTGGCCCCTGTGATCTGTGCAACTGGATTTTCTTCCCAGGGTGTGCACTATAGGAGCACAGGTGGAAGCAGAAGCACATTCAGAAGCAGGAAATGGCCTGAAGTTCAGCGTTGCAACTAATCATTTAAATCAACAAGGTGAACAATTATTTACTTTGCTGCTTTAAAGAAAGAGGGGGGAATGAGGAAGGAGGAATAGAGTGGAAATAGTAAGCAATAAATGTACATGCTTAAATTTTCACTGCTGTAGTGTTGTGTAAGAGTACAGAAATTTCATGGGTTTTACTTTACTTCCACAGCAAGTTTTGTGTTTGTATTTAATTTCTGGGAAGCCAAAGGCAAAGCAAAGCAATTAACATGTTGAAGACTTAAAAATAAACTTCAGAAGCTTCAAGTAAAATACCTTTAGCTGATTAGTGTTACAATGCATCATTAATGAGAAATAAATGAGGATTGCATTGTTTCTTAGGATAAGGCGAGTTGTTAGATATCTGCATTGATAATACAGGGCTTAGAAATAATCTGTGAGCTACTTTTCTAGAAGAAAAATAGGAAACTTCTACATGGCCTAGTGCACAGATAAGAAAAACAGTGAAACAAATACATTTGTACAACTTTTTCCATAAAAAGCTTATTGCAAGGTGAATTTTAACATAGTCCTGTCACTCATTGGATCGTTTAGACTCACCCCTCGATATGTATCTATGCTTCTCTATTTTTGTTCAACTGATAGTTTTTCTTGAACTCTGATTTTACTACAAACTAATTAATATAAAAAGTGCAGGCTCTAAAATGTAGAATTAATTTTGAATGACCCTAATATAATATACTACCTTCTCTTGCACCCACAGCAAACAAAATTCTATGGAAAACAAGGCTCAGGAAAAGACTACAAAATATTTCTTTACAGTTATCCTGTCATGGCTGTGTACCAAATAAAGGGGATATGAAAAGTGCTTTGATTGGGAAGATTGGCAGCATCTATGTTTTTAAATGAAATGATTTTTAAATATGCATGAATTTATTGTCTTGGTTAAGTTGTTGCACAGTAAAAAGGAATGCTGTTCTCTGAACAATAATTGGTCTGTCTCAGCTCTCAAATTGGGTCACAGTGAACAGACAGAATGCTCTGGTATTTCTCTTTTACCTTGCTTTCTTGGAAAAGTGATTGAAACTGTAATCATTACTGTGTTGAGGCAGTGTACTGATAAAAACCAGCGTTTTTCATGAATGATAGATCCTCTTCTTTTGTCCTGTTTTTGATGGTATTGTATTGTAGAACACTTTAAAGAACAACGCAGGCATCTACAGTCTCAACAAAATATGCTGAAATGCACTGAATGAGTACAGCAATCCCAGTTATTGCTGGAGTTTATTTTTGGTAATAAACACTTCACCTTCTGTATGGGACTGTGGTAGAAAGAAATAAATTTGAATCATTAATATTACATCATTTTACAGTCATCATATTCCTAAATATGCCAAACAACATTCTAAATATCCCCAAAAAGGACTGAGGCTGGGGTGGAGGTGACAATACTGTTCTACAAAGCTCACGTGCTACCTCACTTCTCTCCAGTTATATCTGCAATTGCTCCAACAATTGCACGGGTTGGGAAGAGCTTTGTAGAAGGTTGTAGCCATTACCTTGTGAGCCAGAGCAGGAATGCTGTGATCAGCCAGGCCTTTATACTGGGATATGTGCACACTGAAAAAGGTTCCATGGGCTCTCTGAAGGATCCTCTGCCTGGTGTGAATGCAGTGACCACCAGGGCATTGGGGAACCTTCCTCCATGGGACACAAAATGTGTGATATTAACAATACTATACACTGTATTTATGTTTTTGGTAACAGTGACAAGGTATTGATGTTGAATTGCTGTATCTGCACAGGCAGAGGAGTGAACACCCTGCAGGAGTGTCCCCTTGTCCTCCACAGTGTCAGGAGAGGATGGTGCCAGCTCCAGCCAAGGAGGGGAGCCAGTAGCTTTTGATGGGTTGTTTCCCACTCCTGTTTAATTTCTCACCCGTCTTCATCTTCTGATTTTATGGGGTGGCAGCTCAGGCCCTGACCTCTTGCCTTCTGCCCCAAGCAAACTCCAGAGTTACTTTAGGAATCCTGGGAAGTGAATCCCACGGATTAGCTTCAGTCCCTGTGACTTGTGCACTGGCTGCAGGACAGAATGAATCTCCTGCTGCAGTTACCTGTCTCCAGCTACAGCCTCTGGTTGGCCAGAGTGGGAAAGCAGCTTTTACAGAACTGAAGCTAAGTAAGGTGGCCCTACCTTCTCCTCACTGGCTAAGACAGAGCAAGACTTAGAATAAATAAAAGAGTGAGACTAAAGTTCAGCTCAGGCTTTGTAAAAAAGTGACAGGAAATTAATTGTCTTTGTGCTGTGTTCTTTCAGCAGCCTCAGCTTCAGTACTTGCAGGGTACTGCAAGAACCACATTCTGCTGTGGTAGATTTATCTTTGTCTCACATGGATCCAAATACAGTCCACTGGTGTCCTACCTGGAGAGCTGGTGACACGACTGAGGGAATCCCTGCACAGGCAGGCTGCCTTGTGTAGGGCTGTGCATCTTGGTTTGTTAGAGCAGTATGAGCTACCTTTCTGTATTGCTGTGTCTTTTTTATATGGAAGAAGGTGAGAAAGATTTGAATACAGATAATGCCATTACCAGTTAATTTAAAAGGCCAAATTGTGGTTTTTAACAATGCTAGACCTTTCTAAGCAATGTTTGAGAAAGATAAGGATATATTTTGAAGATGGATGTTTCAATTTCTGGCTGCCCAAAAGTGACATAACAACATTATAAATTTAAATAGGATGAGGCTTTAATGGGTCTCCTAGAGGAAAAAAAAAGGCATTTATTAGTAGAAATGTACTAAACTATCTGCATTTGACAAAGTGCTAATGGAGAAAAATTACTTCGAGAGAAACAAATAAAAATGTCAATTAAAAAAAAGTAATGGCTCTCTGAGCTGTGGGTTGTGGTTTTGTAGTTTTGTTTTTTTTTCCTGAAGAGAAGTGCTGGATATGTTTTTCACACTGCCTGAAAAGCTTTTGATTTGTCTGTGTTGCCTTAGTTCTGTGAATGTTGGGGTTTTTCTGGGGATGCCCCTTCTGTATCTGCTGCTGCACAGTTGTATTTCACTTAGGCTGGAAGCTAGTTTAATATGCTGGTCTAATGCTTTTTCTCTATTATAAGTTTTGTTTTTGCACTTTATTTAGGGAGCATTTTCCAATGAAGTGTCCACAAGCACAGTCCCTGCAGCCTAAACCACCTGGCTTTGCACTTCCACACGTGCCATGTGATGTCTCCTATGTCAGCAGAGACTCCTGGTAACTGCAGAGTATTTGTGAAATGGAAATTCTCTATTTACAATTTTCTGATGCCAATCAGCTTTTTTCCCTGGTATCCTGAGGTGCCAGGTAATGTCAGGGTTTGCTTGGCAGGCACACTGGGAACTGCTGGGTGTGTGAAGGTTGCCCTTGCTCCAAAGAATATTGCTGAGTTCAGCTGGAATCTGTACAGAAAGGCTCAGGGAGGGCATGGAGTGAAGCAGCTTTTTCCCAGCATGAAGTAGTGACACGATGAGTATGAGCCTGCAGTGACACACACACTCACTTGTGCCACGACACACAGGAGGAGCTGAGCCCTTCTAAGCAGTGAAATGTTTAGGTTTTACTGCTGCTGTTGGATTTGCTTATGTTAGATGTGTCTTCAGTTATTTGTCTCACAGCAGAATAAAACCAGCTATCTGAGGATAATGTCTGGAAAAACAAGACACCAGGAACCAAGTTGCTGAGGTAAGAAAGGAATCATCGAGCAGTGACCATGGCACAGGCTGTCTGCAAATAGGGGTGCCAGGGGAGACTTTATTTCTGCCAGTATAAAATGTGATTAAGTTTTAATGAGACATCAAGTGTTTCATTCCTGTCTCTAATCTCCAGGAGCTGAATACTGCAGCCCTATAAAAATATTACCCCTATTAAAACCTGCAAGATGAGATGCTGGACCCAAATGCACTAAAGGCAAGCAGTAGGCAAACAGAGTGTACACACATCCTAACGACTTTTTGGGAAGGTTCAGAAATAGTTTGTTTTTAAATTTGTTTCTTACACTGAAGCTGGAAAACCAGGATTTCTCACAAAGACTTTGCTTTCAGTCCTTTGCCTCATGTTCATAGGTCTCCCCCTCATTCTGTACTTAATTATGTAATATTTGGTTACCTTCACAGGTTGCTCTGGTGTTCTAATGTGAATTTTCCCCATTTAATAACAGTCATTGAGGTTTATCTCATCCTTTTAGCAGCCTAAGAGAAACCAAAATGAACTGTGGTCTCTTGATGTTTTTTAATCTCAGCCCAGCCTCTTGAGCCCACAGCAACACAAGGACTCCCTTGCTCTCTTGTTTCATCAGCACTTTGAACTGTTAGTGACATCTTGTTTAAAGGCAGTCATATGCTGACACTGACAGAGAGTCACAAGTAACAACCCTGCTGGGGGTACCAAAATTATGTCCTCAACATCCAAATATGTTGTTTTAAATTATAATTAACTTATCCATGGGTGAATTGTTTCACAATTTAACATATTTTATTTTTCTTGACATAAACAAGATGAGGCATAGTGACAGCAAGGACTCTGCCATTTCCAATTAGTTAAAACATCAGTATTAATTCTACATTAGCTAATTACACTGAGAAAAGTGGGGAAACACAATTTGTCATTTATACTGGTAAAAAACCCCACATTCTCAGCTTATTTTTGTAACTTTTTACTACATACAGGAATGTCCAGCCACAAACTATGGTTAAATATCTTTCCCATGATTGTATTATATGGCTATAAAATATTGTCTCATTTTCCACATTTTACTGAAAATGAGACTGTGAAAACATTCAGCTAAGCAAAGGCAACTGGAGAATAAAAGCAAAATCACTTCCTTTCTCTCTGAATCCAACATTACCTCTGCTCAAGCTGCTGCCATGGGGCTGCAGTCCCCAGGTGGCCCTGTCCAGCTGCAGGTACAGCCACTCCACTGCTGCAAGGCAATGCTACAGAGGAGATTTTACAGTCTCAGCAGTTCCACAAATCAGGCTTGAAGGAGACTCCTTGAGAAACTGTTGTGACTAAAATGTAATTAAACTGACTCTTCAGCACAGCATTTCATACCTCTCACCATATTTAAATACCTGTAATACCCTCTAGGGAACACTGTTGTATGTAAGTACATACATAAAACATGATAGAATGCATTAATGATGCTCACTGTGCTCCTCCCTCTTCAGGTGCCAAAGCTGCACCAGCTCCAATTCCAGATAACCCATGGTATGGATTGGAATGTGTTCAACTAGACACTTAAAACTCCAACAGGTATGAGTTAATTACACGAAGACTTTATTTGCCACAAATTAGATACACTTAGTAAAAAAAAGAGGTGGATTGCAGCATGTAAACTATTTTATAAATTTGTTTTCAAAGACCTATTGCAGTGAAGAAAACATACTGTTTAGGGTTTTCAATGTTCTGTAGTATTCTGTACTGTCTTACAGTAAGGCACTCTACATTGCATTTGGAAATCAAAGCTCTCTGCTTGTCTAGGATCAACAAAGTGACTTCTGATTATTCTGTACAGAATTATTCCAATTATTCCAATTTCTGTAGCTAGATCCAAGACATATGCTAATTGAATGGTAGTGAAATTTCAAAATGGAAATAGTTGTTTCACCTTTCGTTTCTGTCAGTGACATTTATACCAGCCTCATTTACAGACTTTTCATTATATAAAACTATATAATGGAAACTATAAAACTATATAACATTATATAAAACTTTATAACAGATATAACAGAAACCCAAGCTGTGACTGCAAACCAGAATGTGTCTGCTCTCCTATTGCTCCTGGCTCTGAAGAACTAAGAAAATAAAGTGTGGGAAATGGGAGAAAGTGTGACACCAAAGTAACAGACTATCATCCAAAAACTGCTAAAAGTCAGCAGAAGTCTGACGATTTCAAATTTTTTGAGATTTGTTTCTGCCCTATTCATTGTCCAGGAGGCAACAGAAATTACTAAATTTATTGATTCTGAAATACCCTTTCAAGTTAAAGGGTTATACAGACACCAGTTTCTCTGTAATAAGGAAGAATTATCTAGGAGCAAAGCAGAAACTCCCCGAGCTGTGCTCTTCAATGACACCACACCAGCTCTGCTCTCCCATATTCCTCATAGGTCTCATCCTCAAAAGGAAAAGTGCTGTCAACAACTTCCTTGTTATTTAGGACAGCAAACTGAGAGCTGTTCTGGGACACTGCAGTCAGAAATACTTCTGCTTGGGGAAACTTTATAAAACTGTTTATATTTATCTAATATGGAAAAACATCTTTTGGCACAGCCTACTTTTGCTTAGCAAGCATATCCAGCAGCTCCTTCTCTATGCCGTGGCTGCCCAGTTCAGTTAGGCTGTAGTATTTGTGCACCACCTTCTCCTCTGTCACAACCACCACTCGAAGGCCATGTGTATCCTGTCCCAGCTGACATCCTATGGCTGATGACACCACCATTTCCAGGCCTTTGTAGGACCCTCCAGCATTCCTATGGTAATGCCCAGAAAACACAGCTGTAATGCCTGTTAGGGAAAAAAACAACATATGTATTTATTTAATTAGCACCTTACAGGTGTCACACTTACCTTCACTCTTTAATGGCTCATTGAGCATAAAGTTAAAACTAAACTATTTACCCAAACTTGCATTTCAAACAAACCAGTAGTAAACAGTAGTAAAATATTCTAGCAGTAATAAATAATTAAACAAACTTTATTGTGCTCCACCAGCTGTGTTTAGGGTTACTGGACTCTGAGCTTTTTATGCCCACTGCAAGGTGTGTTTGTTGTGTCCCCACTCCTTTGCCTAGAAAGAAGGGACAGTCCAGAAGCAGCAGATTAAAATGAGGTATCTGCCTAGAGAATGATGGGACTGAAACACAGGTTGAAAGGCCAAGAGAGCAGAGCTGTATTTGTCCATTAGTGTGAAGAAAATTTCCTAACGGTAGCTTAAACCTGTACACCCAAGCCAGTGACCTTAAAAAAATAAAAGGGGCAAGACGAACAAAAAACATATATGAGAAGATAAGTAGTAGTCATTTCACAAGGCATTGAGGGCATCACAGATGGCACAGAGCCAGGTACATCAAAGAAATCTAATAAAGCAGAAGAGGTTGTGAGTTTTAAGAAGAGGGGGAAAAAAGAGGAGCAGCCAGGAAAGGAAAGGTTGACACCCACAAGAGTCAGGCTTGGAATGACATGAATTAACATTTATCAGGTATAAGGACAAACAAGGCAGGTTGACTCTGATCCCCTCTCTATTTTTAATGACTTAAGGTTGTTCTGGTTGTTGGTTTTTTTTTTTTTTTAATAGATTACTTATATTTTGGACTTTTATGGAGTAAATAATATGGAGTTTTTACAGAAATTTCGAAACAATTTGAAATTAATTATGTAATCCTCACCTCCAAATCAGTAATTTCTACTTTTTGCTTCTGCTTTCTTCCAAACATAAACAATTGGGTAGAAGCTGTCCTCATTACTCTGAATGGCCTTTTTGATTGTCTTTACAAGTCAGATTCATGCTGCCACATAGATTATCTTCCCCTCCCAATATTTGATAAATTTTAACAAAATGTTTTTATTGGTACAAAATGATTAAACTTCCTTGAGTCTGAGTTAAAAAAAAAAGGTCATCTTTTTGCTAAGTACTTCTCTTTCCTGTCAAAGTTTGCAAACCTCACAGGAGAGTTGAGAATGCAGCTTCCTCCCCAGTGCTCTGCCCTAGACAAAGCTTTTCATTCACAGTTTATTCCACCCTCCTTTGCCATTCAGCCTTTCCATGCTCTGGCCATAGGTACAGCTGAGCACCACACTGAGCAGCATTCAGAGTTTAGTATAAAAATATTCATCAGTTTTCTTGCTAATTTAAGGTAGTGCATGTTTTATTTTGAATGGAAACGTGGAATTAGTTGAAATAGCTAATTTTACAAATATGGTTTGGGATTATGTTTTGGCATGCTTAGTCTAAGGTCTTTGGACCTTTGGTCCAGACTCCTACAGCTTCCTGAAGCTGCATCTAATGCTACTTTATACTGATGTGAAACAGAAAAATTACTGGACCAGATGGCTAAAAATACTGAAAATTTTGTTGGCAGGCCAGAGAGGTGAATTTGTGAGACATTACAACCTTAAATGATGTTTAAAAAATAAAAAGCTAGCAACAACTGATTTTGCCTTCAGACAGCAGAAATCCTGGAAAATAGCAGAGGCAATTTAAAGCCAGAGAGTTGTAATGAAGAACATGCTACAACTTCACATGGAAGTCCTTACTTCTCTAGCCAGAAAAAACCTTCCACATTTTCTCCTGCAGTAGATTTAGACCTCTTCCATAGAGATAAAGTAAAAAGAGAAGCAGGTGAACCCATCTTAAGACAGCTGCTAACATCAATCCTTTGCTTTTGTGGGAGTGAGTGATCTGAAGACTGATATAAAATATATAAACTTGGCTCAAAGTATAGTTAAAAATTAAGCAGCTCGGAAAGCAAAATATAAATTATTCTGCTGTGGTAAGAGCTACATGGGCTTTCATATTTCAAATCTAAGCCCTTCTCAAACAGCAAGTGAGTCAAGGTAGAAAACAGAGAATGAAGCCACATTGTCACTGAGCAATGGTACAAGGGCTGTGACAGTTCCAACTTGTCTGTTCCTCTGTTTTAGTGTCTCAGGGCTGATTGTCCTGCTGCTGGACTCACTCCTCTGGCTGCTGCATGAGGTATACTTGTAAGAGTGCAGCACAACTTTGGGAGCTTGCTTTGACTCAGCTGCACAAACCCAGAAAAACTGGTGAAGTGTTTTTACATCTTTGGAGAAACTCAGAGTCCCTCAAAAGGCAGTGGTGGAATACAAAAATCAGTGATGCTGCTACTGTAACAAGGTAACAAGGCCTTTTCAGTATTTTCCACTTTTTCTGTGGGTAAGCAGAACTACTTTAGTCTATGAAAAAATTAAGAACAAGAATCACAAACTCATAGTGAGGTGCAAACCCACATGACACACGTTTAGTAACAGAAATAAGTACTTTGGAAGGGAATTAAGTTCTCTCTTTTTACTGGAAGAATCTGTGTCCTAAAGTAGCATCTTCCCACCATCCAGAGAATTTAACATTTTGATGTAAAACAGGAAAAGAAGCCAAGACTTTGTGTCATCATGTATGTTAACCAAACCCTGACTAAGTGTAATTAGAAGGACGATAGATACAAAAGTCATAAAGGAACTGTAGTTAAGCTACAGAAAAAACCGTTCAACTTGTCTGATAGTTCAAGGAAAGATTTTGCTATTCTAGACAGAGAAAGACATGGGTAAAAAATTTTGCCCAGACTTCAGTTTTCAGATACCCTTATGTGCTAGTATTAACTGTGGTTATTGCTGGGTTACAAGATGTTACACCTGGAACAAGGAAACCAACAGGTCACTGCTGGGGCTTTTCTGCAGGAGCCCTGTTCTGTCCACTCAGCTGTACTGCACCCACTGTGTGAGTTAGCACAGGGAGGAAAGCTGAACCAATCACTGCAGTAATACCAAGATGACAAGCAGGCTATTTACTTTGCTCTTGCTTTTGATCTTTAACATAAAAAGATTCTTAGAGACGTGGGCACTCAAATTTCATTTATTAATTTCAAATGTTTTTCTGAAGTAATAATGTCAAGTTGCTACCAACATCTCCACCCCCTCTTCCCCCAAATGCTGTGAGGAAAGAACAGTGTCCTGGCAGATCTCATTTTTATAGCTCACCTTAATGTATCCCCAGGTCAGTTAAATGCATCCAGCTATACACTAAAACATACAGTCCCTTCCCACTACAACAGAAGAAAGAAAGGTGGAGCATTGATTTGTTTTTTATCGCTGGGTTTTTAAACAGCAGCTGGAAGCAGCACTGATATAAAAGCTGTATGAAGCACTAAAAAACTCCTGTGTAAATAAATGTCCAAAGAACAGCACCTTCACAAGCATTCATTATTTCATTTTTCATGAAATACACAGTTACTTGAATTTAAATGTGACTGGAGGTTTCATGGTATCCATTTACTAAAAAAAGCTGGATCCATTACTGCAAGACACTATTCATATCTAATGGATTATTCATTAAAGAATAAACGGATTAAAAACAGAATAAAGTAAAAAACTGTGCAGACAGTTATGCTAAAAAAAAAAGCAAAACAATTCACACATCCTGTATCTGTGATGATGATCATCATCTGATGTCAGACTGCATAACAACATTGACACAGATTACAGAGTGTCTGCTAAGGAAAAAAGGGTCTGAACTGCCAAATCAATTTTTGATCAGGACAGGACTGGAAGCCAGAGATACAGGGCAGGCTCCACCCAGCGCTGGGCACCAGGTCTTGTTCTGCCTGTGCTAAAACTGTACTCAGGTCATGAAAACACCTAAACCCACTGAGCTTCATGCCTCCTACCAAACATGCTTTTATGAATCAGTCAATATGTGAAAAAACTCAGTATCTTTGTAAAAAAAGGTTTGGATACAGGAATTGCTTCTGATTTTAGTAAACCAAAGCTGTTCTCCTGCCATGCAATTTACCATCACTTTCTGATCAAGCACACAATGTCCTTTTTAATCCTGATCTGAAAAAGCTGAATCTGAAAAACAAAAAGATTTTCCTTTTCCAAAGATCTGACGATAACTCTTTTTCCCTTCAGAATAATGCATCCCTACTAAAGAATGAAATACCTATTTTGGTACGAGTTCTTTTGAGCCCTGAGCAGCCTACTTAGCAAAAATAATTCACGATGTAACAACAAACCCAAACAAGGATTGTTCAAGAGCCATGTGATGAGATGTAATAATTAAATATGTTGATAAGCCTTAGACTGTTCATCAGCTCAAACATGAAACAAATATATAAACACTTTGGTTTTATGCTAGTTCACAGACTGCATTATGGCCCTGAGGGCTGTAAGGCCCCACAGTGGCTGTGGCAAGGCAAGAAGGGAGTTCTGGGGAGGGGAATTATCAGCTCATGCAGTTCAGCCTTTGATGCTACCTGTTTCATAGGCAGAATCTTTACAGCAGAACTCAATAAAATTTCAAACTAAATTAATATTTTAATTTGGATACCTTATTCCAGGTCAAAACCACATTATGAACACTTGGCACATGGTTCCTACTGCAGACATTTTTCAAAAGGAAATTCAAAAGTGCCTCTGAAGACTTTCCTCCCCTCTCCTTTGTTTCCTGTGTTCTAAAGCCAGCTCACCAAATAAGTAGTAGAGCTTCACCAAGCTCTTGTTGATTTGCATCTTCCTCGCTTTAACAGCTTTGGGAAGTTGGACAATTTTTACCAGCATTTCCCATCTTCACTTTTTCTGTTGGTTCTCTCTTGAGGCTTTTTGACCCACACAAGCATAATATATTAAAAGGTGCTTTTCTTACAGAGAGGCCCCTGGCCTAACAGGGAAAGGTGTCTACACAAGTGTCTGAGACCTGCTCTGGACACTGCACAGAAAAGGCTGACACAGAAAAGGATGAGGAGGCTCCAAGGGATCCAAGCAGGCTCAGA